GGGGGGGGCAGGGAGAAGGTTGAGGCTGGGAAATGACACCACCCTATAAAAAAGATCCTACTTTGGAAGGCAGTAAGCAGCTGTTTCAGATCAGCTGCTGACATAGAAATGTTGAATCTGCTTGTCACTTGAACTTATTGTGTATGCAGAATAATTTTTTAACTTTAGTCTTTCTGCTTAAGGTAATCTAGTAGGAAAAGGTTTGCTAGATGGTGCTTTTACAAAGGCTTTCTGAAACAAAAACCTTTTATGACCTTGCATATAGAAAGCTATGACTTTTTTTTCAATTTTATGCTTACTGGGCTAGAAGAGAGGCAAGGCAACCATAGACTGAAGGGGTATACATATTTCCATTCTGGTTGGATACAAGTAATGAATCTTTGGTTTTCTGATTGAAGATCTCTGCACTAGCTTTCATAAAAGCTTTTTCCACATCTCTGTCAAAATACGTATCTTCAAGTTTTACATCCCTATTAAAAAAAAAAAAAAAAAAGTAGTTCAGAAACAGTTACTGAAATAGCAGAAAGTAAAAAACACACCTTGGAGGTGCAACAAATTAAGATTACATGGATAAGGAAGACAGCAGCCATTCTCACCTGAAAGCTTCCAGACCACTGAAAACACCATTTGCTGTTTCTGGGTTCTGGTCACTGAGAAAGTCATTCAGCAAGAGTCTAGCCACAGATTTCTGTACCAGTTTACAGTAGGGAGAATGGAAGATCATGAATCCAAAGTCATTCAAGGTGAAACGTCTGTCTGTCCCTTCTGGAAGTGGCAGAAATGTTGTGTTACAACGTACACTTAGTACTCACTTCAACTATGAGAATAAAATAAGAAGGGTGGCAGGATAGCAGTCATCATATCCCATCAGCATACAAGAGACAACCGTAACACTAACTATTGCTGTCAAGTTCATTTAAAACACTGCTGCTACTTCTATTGAAAAATTAGTTTCTTACTGATCTTTTGCACCAACATTTGCCCTTCTAGAAGAAAAAGCTATAAGCTTAACAGAATCCCCGTATTTTTACCCAGCATTTTGACATAATAAATAATCTACCTCATTGAACTATCTAATCTTCAAACCTATGCTTAATATGAATGAAGCAATTATTAAACACATGGGGAAAAAACATCAGTATTGCTACAAAACATTTAAGTATTAACCTCAGTATCTTAAGAGCCTCGGTGGAGCAGGGAATAACACACTTTTAAGCAAAGTATTATACAGAACACCAAAAAAAGCCTGTAGAGACTACTACTTACTGACTATCAGGTACTTAGCCATACCAGAACAGAAATAAAATGTTTCTTATGGGAGAAAGCAAACATTTTAATCGCCTCAGAACACACAAACACAAAGAATGGGACCCATATACTAGTCTTTAGATTGGATGCTAAAACTTGAAAATACATTGTCTGTGTAGTTACACATTCCAGTGTTTGCCAGATCTTGCAATATCATCAGGTGAGGCTACGTACCCTTTTGCCACTGGGCATGGATTTTGTTGCGGTAGACAGTATAGCAGCGATCTAATGCACTGAGGTAGCACTGTATAGATAGTTTGCCATCAACTACAGGATATTCAGAGACCATGTCAGGTTTATAGAAGTCATATGCATGCTGCATGTGGGTTCCACGCAACCCTGATGGAGAGAAATTGACAAAAGTTGAAAATTACTTTATTCAGCTGCTTTGAGCCAATTTGAATGGATCACTTAACACATGTGAGGAAACAAGCAGTATTTGGCCCCAGTGAAGCAGGTTTTCGTAGCACTTCGGGCCCTTTAAGGTAAGGTTTCACACAGTTCTCAATCGCTTGTTAAGTACGGTAGGACTGAGCATGACAAACACAAGCAACAAATGATTTTCATTGTTTTGTTTTGCAAGTAAGAGCACTGTGTTATTCAGCTCTAGTCCACTCTGTCAATTTTATTGGAGAATCCCCAAGAAAATAAAACAGATAGGAGCATCTCCAGTTGTTCCTTGCTGCCTCCTGTAACAGGACTTGGCCAAGTTAGCCCAGAGCAACAGGAAATAAAGTGCAATTTCTGACATTAGTGGGAATTAATCCAGCCCTCCAGCACCACACAAAAAACAGGGGAAGGCTTCAGAACGGATCCAGTTATCTGGCTGAATGCCATTTGTTTTCTCACAGGACTAACCTCTCTCAAAAATTAACGGAGCATTTGGACCAATTAGCATAGCAACAGCACCAGCTCCACCTGTTGGCCTGGCATTTCCACTGGCATACACAGCAATGTCTCCAGCAACAACAAGTGCATAGCGTCCTGTGAAAAACACACAGAAATAATGATGAGAAACAGCCAAGAATCTAGCTCACTTTAATATCCATCAGCAATTTTTAGACTTTGGTTATAGAGGAGATCACCCCAAGATTAAGGGGTTCTTTAGTCCTGACCTTCCCCCTCCCCCATTTCAATTTCCTGGCAGCCACTGAAATTTGCAGGAAAAGGCCAGTGATTATCAGCCATGTTGTTATTTTCTGCACTGTAACTGAACTAGTGGCAAATGCCCAGCAGCCATTTAAGAAAAAAGACCTCAGAAGAGAAAAATAGTTTACCCACTGGGTTTTATATGGTTAAACACGAACACTGTCATTATAAGGCAGACTACTCAAAACCAGAGGATGATGTAACTTTTCAAGAAAACACCCTGAACTTACCATCCCAAGAACTGGACTCAATCCAGTTAATAGCATTAAAAAGAGCAGCAGTGCCTCCATAGCATGCATTGGTGGTGTCGATTCCTTCTACATCCGTATTACCAGATTCTTCAAAAAGTTGCATCAGGACAGTCTTTACAGATTTTGATTTATCAATTATCGTCTCCGTTCCAACTTCTAATCTCCCGATACAATCATAGGAAAGGCTATTCCTCTCCATGAGCTTCTGAACCACAGTCAAGCAGAGAGAATTGATATCTTCCCGGTCAGAGCAGAAGCCCATCTTTGACTGGCCTAGCCCAATGGTGTATTTCCCAGCATCCACACCATCATACTTCTCCAGCTCTGTCTGGTCAACGTACTGAGAGGGAAAATATATTTCCAGTGCAACAATTCCCACATCTTTGGGCCAACAGGATTCAGCATTCACTGGAAGAGACCCAGGCATTGTGGCAGATCTTTAAGAAAAAAAGAAAACCACAAAAACAGCTGATTTATTCACATCCATTTTGAGAGACCTGCTTTCATTTTCTGTAGGTTTCTAGAAAAAGTTAAATTTTAGGTATTATACAAGGTCATTTCCAAAAGGCAAGCCTTTGCCTCTGGGGAGACTTTGGTCTAAGCACACCATAAAGATCATTAGAAGTTTTCTAACATTTTATATTAAGAAGTTTTTTAAGTGAAAATACAAATTTCAGCCCTGGAGATAAAGAGATATAGGTTAAGCCCAAGTTATTTTACTGAAGCAAAACACAGGCCTAACAAGTGGTAAGTGTTTGAGAAGTTAGTCTTAATGTTCATTATTGTACTTCTGCTTATATGCAAAGTCTCAATTTTACACAACCAAGCCAGAAACATCAGATTTATTCTTTTTTAAAATGTTGCCAGCTGACAACTAAAGTTTAAAATTTATCCTTACCAGGAAATCTCTGAGTTAAAACAGGCCAGGACTTTTCAAAATTGTTTTTATTTTTAAACTAAGTAACCAAAGTCTCTCCATTTTGTTTATACTTGCAACAAAGACAGCAGAAATTTTTCTGGTGTGGGGTTGGGGGTTTTTTTTTTTGTATTTTTGGTTGGGTTTTTTGTTTGTTTGTTTGAAGTATACTCTGTTTTGGCATTCTGGAACACTGGAACTCCTAACACCAGGCCTGGAGGAATATTTCACAGGCTGAAATGAAAACACAGGGATTCTCCCTGGTAGACCAAGTTTTCTTATTTTGACCCCTTAACTTTACTGTCACTGCACTCGAGGATATACTACATCCTATTACTTTAACCCTATCCCTATTACCCAGACAGGCAGGATCTTCCTGTACTTTTGCTTACATCCTTCCACAGCACTTGTCCCTTTTGTACCCAGCTGCAAGTACCGTCACACTGACCTTTACCCAACTTCTTCCAGAAAACCACAACGAGCTGTATAAAGGAATAAAGCCTTTCGCTGCAAGAATGACGACTTTACGGGATGCACATTAAGACAAGCGCTAGGAAAACATGACAAGCGTTTTCTGTTACAGGTACAGTCTTGTGTAAGACCTAAAGAGTGCAAGGCTCGCCGTTCATTTTTATTGCCTCTAACGAAGTTCCAACCGAGGTACCTATAACTTATTGAAGTATTTCTCTTGTAGCCTTTATTCGCGTTCGAAAGCGTAAACGGGAGAAAAAGGCCGTTTGCTCACCCCCTCCTGTCCGCTCGCCCACGACCCGTCAACCGCCGGGACCTCTTTTCCCTTAACCCACCCTGTCACGAAGCCCCTCACCTCAGGAGACCGCCGCCCCGCTCCCCCCGCCGAGCCGGCCCTCGCTGAGGGCAGCCCCCCGCCAAACGCCTCAAGGTTACCCGTGACCCGGCCGAGGAGACGAGGAGGAGCCACCGGGGAGGCGTGGGGAGAGCCGAGCCGCGTCCCACCCGCAGCGTGGGCCCACCACAGGGCGAAAGGCCGATCGCCTCCCGCCTCCCCACCTGACAGAAACGCTGCCCCGGCCCTTACACGTTGCGGAATCCCATGGCCGGCTGCCGGCGCGGAGGGCCGCGCATGCGCGCTGCGGCGACAGAGGGACGGGGGGGGAGCCCGTCCGGCTGGGGCAGGCGGGTAGTGCGCAGGCGCGGGGAGCTGGCCCAGCCCCTCCCCCGGGGGCGCCGCCCGTCCCTGCCGCGCCCCCGAGGCGGTGACAACGGTGTTGCCGTGACCACCGTGCACCGCGCTCCACGAAGCTGGTGGGCAGCATTAAGGCTTTGCGCTATTTCGACGCTGTTAGAAGGCGGGTGGCCATCACAGCTTTCCTAAAGCCGCAGCCAGGGAAGGGAAGCGCAGTGGTCCTGAGGCTCCCCAGCAGCTGCGGCAGCAAGCTCACGTCCCCTCTCGGCAGCACAGCGAGCAAGCCACGCATCTCCTGCGGACGCAGGGCAGCGCTGTGATCCAAAGCTTGCTCCAAGAGCTGAGTTTTACCCCAAACCCGCACAGGTCCTGCAAGGGAGGAGGATGCTTTCTGGCTCCCCGTACGAAGGCGGACACGCCACCGACAGCCAGATCCCGAGGTACCAGCTGGGAAAAGGACTTTGGGGTCCAGCTCCCTTTCTGGCACAAAACGCCCCGCTTCCTTCAAAAGGGGACAGACCGCTGCCGGCTCAGCACGGTGTCTGGCAGCCACCCCAAGGGTAAGCCTTGTACCCAGAGCAGAGCTCCGTTCTGCTCCAAGAGCCAGAAAGCTGAAAGTTAAAGGCTGCAGAGACTCTTAGAGGCTTAATTTTATTTAAGTTTTATACTAAAAGGAGCATGCAGCACTTAATGGCCTTGACCTGTGATAGCCATAGAACAACAGTGGCTTCTAACTGGGTGGTGAATTAGCAGCAAACTCGGTATGCCAAAAAGACTTGCATTATTGGCGAGGGCTGCAGAAAACACTCTGCTCTGTGCTTGCTCCTCACAGAACTTTTGAGGTCAAAACTGGCATTTAATGCCTATTACTCGCCGCAGTCCTCTCATCAGAAAACTTTCTGCAGAAGACAGCTAAAGGGAGGCTCCTCCTGTTGTATTCTGACGGCTCGCCAAATACCAAGCTTACCAAATATGCCTAACGTAGTGGCAGTCAGGGCTAGCGGGCTGTACCGCAAGGAAGAATGCTGCTGTATAAGCTTGCTCTGATCGCTGAAAGAAAGGGGACGAACGACATCTTAAGTCAGCCAGTCATTAGAGGAAAAAATTTGTTTACTTGATGCAAAACAAACAGCCTTTTGTCGTCCCAGTCAAATGGCAAGCACCACCCCATCATGGAGTTCTTGCTGAAGACGAAAGCTTTCTCAGAGGTACGATTTCTCAGTCTTTTAAAAGGGGACAGTCTTTTAAAAGACTGAGAACCCCAAATGCTTTAATACGGAGAAATGAGAAACCAGCTTTGCTTTCTGGCCCCTCAGGATCCTTCAGGGAGCGAAGGAGCAGCCTAAACCAGCCGCTACTTTCTGCTGGTGTTGCAACAGACACGTTCTCCCACAGCCACCGCTGGCTTTCATCCCCTTTGTTACGAACTTGGGGATACTCCGTCAGTAATCTGACGTGATTATTTCCTGCCTGAGCTCTGAACTCATACGGACCACTTGACTGGAAGTCGGAAAACCGGCCCCCAGCCCGTTTGCTCCCGGCCGCGCTGCCAGCGCCCGCAGAACGGACCTCGGGCTGCCTCCCGGCACTTAAAAGCAGTGACGGTCCGGCCGCTTCGGCCATGACGTCATCCAGCCCTCGTCCGTGTGTCCGTCCGTCCCC